TTTTTTTTTGAATTTTTTTTTTCTTTTTTTTTTTTGGAACAAAAAAGGGCCTTATGTTCCTGGCTCCATATCCATTCTGGGGAGCGTCAGTCCGGTTCCTTTCCCCCGGCAAGTCAAGAGAATACAACGATTTACACACTCACGCTTCCTTCCGTCTGGCCGAAGGACCCCGGAGCAGCATTGATTGCTCCAATAGCGGAGGACTGACTGTCAGCTTGCCTTCCCCTGTGATTCCGATCAGGCTCTCTCATACTGAGCCCGTCAGATAGACCATAATGCAAGAAAAACAGAGAACACATTCCGATCAGGCTCTCTCATACTGAGCCCGTCAGATAGACCATAATGCAAGAAAAACAGAGAACACAAGCCGCAACTGAAATTTCTTCCTCGTCCCACTCGTGGGTAGGCGTTTCCTTGGACCTTGTAGCGGGCCTATGCTGTTCCTGTGATATCTTGTGGTTCTGGCCGGTGAGTTCCCCTACGTCCCTGGGTGCTGAGGGCTGAGTAGAGTTGTGCCAGTCCTTCCACTGGAGATGGAGTCCTCGAATGTCTCCTATCTTTCCTCCAGCCAGCCAGATTCTAGTATTTTTTTCCCACAGCTCTTGCTGCTTATCCGGATCATTCTGAATTTGGATCTTGACTCGCCTCCACTGACATAGAATCTCCACCTCCAATAGTGATTTGGTCGTCGCCCATCCCTTCTCGCTCTGGCTACATGAGTTCTCCAGTGTTCTGCTGCAACTTTCCTTCCATATTACCCAGAGTGTCACCTTACGTACTAGTCCAAACCAGATGCGTTCAGATTTGCCAAAGTGGGTGGGGATATTAGTCCATAGGAGTATTTGGATTGGGTGTTCTTGCAGGGACGAGGAGAAAAGATGGTCCCATAGGACGGATGCTCTAGCCCAGTAGCTTGTAGCCTCTTTGCATGTGATCATGCAGTGTATGATATCTTCCTGTTCGTTGTCTGAGCATACCACACACAGATTAGTGCCGTTTGGGTCACTTTTCCTTCTTCTGTTGTGTAGCAGCGTAGGCAATGAGCCATTGGAGACTTCTGATTTTAACTGGGCGAATTGATTTGTACTTTTGCCATGGTAGCTTGGAGATTTGGTCCGCTTCGGAGCCTATCAGTTTAGCCCATCTATGTTTGATTACAAGCTCCGGGTATTTTGTCTTCAGCAGCATTGGCCCTCGGCCACGAACAGAATGCACAAAGCAACCATTCACATAACAGACTATACAGTCAATTTTGCTGCGCAATGCGCATACATTTATTTATTTATTTTTTTTAACAGGGCCTTATGGTCCTGGCTCCTTCTATTCTGGGGAGCGTCAGTCCGGTTCCTATTCCATCGGCAAGTCAAATTATACATCACATCAATTACCAATCACACACGCTTCCTTCCGTCAGGCCGAAGGACCCCTGAGCAGCATTGATTGCTCCACCACGGGAGGATTGACTGTCAGCTTTCCTTGTCCCTCTCTTTCCTCTCAGACCCGGAAACCAGATCTGTCAGATAAAGCATTTGACCCTAGAAAGATCACATCTGTTGTCCTTTTGGAAGGTCAACCGTATATCATTAAAACCTACACCCTCAGTCTGCATCTTTGCCCCCCTTTAGAAGGTCAACCGTATATCATTAAAACCTACACCCTCAGTCTGCATTCTTATCATCCGGTCGTCAAAAGTGGACTCTGGCAGGGTGTTCGTTAGCTTCCGGATCTCTGGGATGGGATCATCTTTTGCGACCCCCGTTCATGCTCCAGTGTTATCAGACTTGTCCTCCTTTTTCCACGTCGTCTGTACCCCCTGGGTTATGTTTATCCTCTTGCAGCCTAAGATGTGGTTAAGCCTTCCAGCGTCATCTGATGTTGGGAACCCCTTTCTGGAATTGAATTATGCCATTCTTTCCAGCATACCCGGTCCTGTCGCAGTTCTCCAACCTTGCCGTCGACCAGCCAATTCCTGTAGAATCTCTGCCTCTCCTTGTTCCGCTGTTCTTCGTCTTCTGTCCAGGCTCGTTTGATCTTCCGCCATCTGCAAAGGATCTCGGCTTGAAGCATTGTTTTAGTTTCTATCCACACTTTCTCCTGTGGGTTGGACCGTCCTTCAATTGTTCGACTGCATCTCTCCTTCCATATGACCCATAGGGTCACTTTCCTGATGAGTTCAAACCAGATCCTCTCAGCCTTCCGAGCCTGATCAGGGATGTTAGTCAAGAGGCGCAGTTGAATGGGTTGTTTGGGGAAGGGAGATGTGAAGAGGGAATCCCAGAGTGAAGAAGCTCTAGCCCAGTATTCGGTCGCCTCTTTACAGAGCACTAGGCAGTGGACTACATCTTCTACCGAGCCTTCAGAGCAGACTGTACATAATTCCGAGCTGTCTGGGTCTGTGGTTTTCCGTCTAATGTGCAGCCATTGGTTCACCAGCAGGGCTGCGTATACAATCAGCCATTGCAAACTTCTGATCTTGATTGGTCTAATACGTTTGAATTTTTCCCGATGGATTCGTGTGATTTTGTCTGCTTCTTGACCCACGAGGTTCCGCCATCTGTTTTTGATGATTGGATCTGGATTTTTGGTCTTCAGAGACAGTCTGTACCCAAGTTTGACTGAGTAATCCTGGATCGGGACTTCTGACTTGAAGTTGCTGGTAGAATTTGGTTTCCAGGCCCACTCCGCTGGGTCGAACTCCAAGGATCGGATTGCAGTGTCCGGTCTGAAGATTGCCTTTGGCCATGGACCTAGGACCCTTACTTTTCTGAGGAGGAAGGAATCCAGTATAGATGTTTCTACATTGTAGTTGAAAATAGCTGGCATGTCCGTATTGGTGAAGGAGACCGGGAAGGAGAGGAAAATGGCTCTGGWGTGTGAGCCTTGTTGCATGTGAGAGAATTGATAGGCTCTAGTAGGGGATGTGTCTTGAATCAAAAGTCCCCATTCGCCCGGTTTCCAGGACTCATCTTTTACCAGGATATCTTTCCATTCTTGAGGAATACGACTGAGTATGTATTGAAGATTGGTCTCTCGTCTGTGCCATCCTTTCAGTCGGGCCCTAGCTTCTTGTTCTGTTATCCAGTCTTTTCTGTCCTCCACCCACAAGTGGTCTACTTTCCAGATACCGTTCTTGATCCAAGATAGCCACCTCTGTTCAAGGAAAAGTGGGTTGTTGGCCTCGTTTGTTAGCCATTCATTCCCAAAGAGCGGTTGTCTTGGTACTTCATCTTTAGATTTGGGTTTGTTTTTCTTGTTAGGGATTATTTTTCTCCACAATCGAAGCAGTGCCGGCCAGTAGGGGGTAAGCGGCCGACTTGATCATAGGCTTTCTCAAAGTCGAAGAAGAGTACTGCTGCCGTTATTCGTTTCTGAGTGATTAGCCTTGTGGAGTCGCAGAGGGTCATAACGTTATCTAGTATGAGTCTGCCTGGGATGAAGCCTTTTCGGTCTAGATGGAAGCAATTGCCGGTGATGTGTTTGATTCTTGTGGCTAGGAGTTTGGCCAGGATTTTGTAGGCGACGTTAAGAAGGGAGATAGGTCTATAATTTTTTTGTTCTTTCTGTCTCCCTTCTTGTAGGGTAAGGTCACTACTCCGTTGCTTAGGTCAGGACCCAAGGATTCATGTTCCCATGCCTTGTTAAGGAAACGCAAGTAAAGGGGGCCGAGTGAGGACCACCTTGCGGCCCAGAATTCTTTTGAGAGACCATCTTTGCAAGGGGCTTTATTGGGTTTTAGGTCCTTGAGGGCTACGTGAAGTTCTTCGAGTGTGATTGGTTCCTCTAGTTTGTTGGCAGCTTCAGCTGAAAGGCTACAATCTAAGTGAGTCAGGAATTAGCTCTGGCTCTATTCACTTCGTTGTTGTTTTATGTTGTCGTTTTGCTAGTGTAGACGTCTTTGTAGAATTTGTTAGCAATTTCTATGGTGGGGTTACCGTTTTCGTCTAGGAGACTTTCTATCTCGGAGTTTCTGGAATTCGCTTTGATTTTCTGAAAGAAAAATTTGGATATTTTGTTATTATTTACTCATTTAACTCCCAGTCCCTCACTCTTGCTCTTAATTGAAGGCCTCTGAGCCTTAGTTTTGTCCATTATGCTAATTCTTCTTTAGATTTTAAGTAGAATTCGGAGAAGAAAGCTGATTTCGGATTATGTTGTAAGTTGAGTTTTGCTATGTCTATTGCGTTCTTTAGTGTTTCCTCTCTTTCCTTCCTCTTTGATGCTAATTTTCTTGAAGTTTGGGCTACCTTTGAGCTTATTTCCTTGAGGAGCTTTGAGAATTTGGTGTAGATGTCTT